TTTAAATTGAAAACGTTTTTAAGACAATAAAGATCAGTTACAGTGTTTCAAATTGTATAACACAGTTCATTTCTTGTTGTGCTAATATTTTGAATATTTATCTCATACTTTTAAATTAAGTCAAATCTTGCAAATTATACCAGCATCACATATGTACATGTTAAACACCTTAGCGATATCACAGCTATAGTGGAGCTTCATCTGTTGCTATAGCGATGAGTGAAATAAGCCTTATGTTAAATGCATATAGCCGTTTCCCTCAGTACCTCCTACAGACAAACTATACATTACTGTCTTCCCTGCAGCAGCCCAGGGAAAGCAGAAGCCCCTAATCTGTTTTTATGTAAATCATTAAAGCATCACATGCTCTGTAATGCTTTCTACACCATCAGCATTTTAAAACTACCCAAACTGGAATCTCATACACCATATTTAACATGTGTGAGCCGTGTTGTGCTCTGAGGGACTTCATCATCTGATAAGTTGGGCTCTCGCTGCTATACGGTTTACATCTAAACAGGAGCATTGGGGCTGGGAACGACGGGTGGTTTTGTCAAAAGATCCACAGAGAAGCTTCTCCACAATCTCCTTAGGAATCGTGAATGCCTCGGGAATACACAATGGACTCCAGAAGCAGAGGGGGAAGACCCAGTTCTGTTGAGATGGTGGGGATTTGAACATAAATTGGTTTGTAATAAAACTGTGGATGTAAGATGATTCACAATTGCATCGATGGACATGAGACGCCCATGAAATGCATGTACTCGGTCACTAGTTATCAGGTATAAATCTTATATATAATCCTATCGTTTCTTCAATTGAAATGCACCAGGTCATGTGGACTTAACAGATGTAGTCATTTACAGTTTCTACTTGAATACAGGTGTTTAAGTTTCAGAAATGTCAAATACTTCCCATACAATGTTACCTACTTGTACTTTAAGCATAACTTCTGCTTGGGTACCTGACAGTTCAGTTTGTGTTTTCACAAAGTATATTGTAAAATATTTAGTGCATCAGACTGCTGTGTGCTGTCTGCATCTAAATGTGAAATATTTTAGTGATTGCAACCTTGGAAGTATGAGCTGCACAGCGCTCTAGGATTGACTGAGCTTTGGCAATCCAACCCTGCTTTACTTCTCTATCTGAAAAAGCTGTTATATACAGGGCTGTGCTAAAATATTGAAATATCAATAGATTGTGACTACGGCACATCAGTACATCATCAAGTTTGTGAAGTGTATTGTTTTGTATCATGCTTTAGTATACTATACTTTATATTTATGGAGAATAGCGGTGTGGAAGCATGGGTTACGCAGGCTGAGTGTTGGACAGAATAAAACAGCTAACCGTACGGAGGGTTTGAACAGGGCCCAGGAGAAATTGGTAAATTAACCACATCAAAATATGCATGGAACCTCTTCAGGCATTTATCTGATGAGGACGTTATAACATGGTAGAAATCTCCAAAAATAATACTCCTTCTTTGAAATATATATCATGCATAGATGTGTAATATTGTATATTGATTATTGAAAGCATCTCAAAATTGTGAGCTATGTATCGTGTATAGTAACAAATCATAGGGACCCTGTGATTCTCAGCCATAGCTCTAAAGCCATGAATGCACCCAAAAATGAATGCATATGAATATTATTTACAATGTGCTAAATACCATTGTTTTATCCTTACCCCATGTAAAGTTTTATATTTGAGGATCTGTTTTTTTACACACCTTGCTAGCTTAACACTAATGCTTTCACTGTCGAAACAGCCAATATTCTCCATTGAAATCACTTAGCCCCATAGCTGCACTGCTTATTTTGGGCTCACCGGAGCACGCTGTGGCTGCAAAGATGAAACACGAGCTCCTGTAAGGCGCTCATTAGAGTTGGGACATTTAATCGATTCAGAAATCCATCGTGATTGGTTCTCCGCAGAGGCCTGGGCAGCGCCGTGGACATCTGTACCACTAATAGCCTGCATATCTGGCCTCATGAAGACATCTCACTGCACACACTGGCCCATATCCTCCCATTAACATGTTGTCTGCTTCTTTAATATGCGTTTTTTAATGTAGCATATTTTTCATGTTAAACCGCCTATGCAAACTGCAGCTATGGCTCTGAATGGCCTTATATATTCTGTACGCTGTTGTTTTTTGTCTTGAGCAATTTGGAACGCAATGGGGATTTTATGCAGCTACAAGCGTGAGTTATGTATAAATTAAGTTATTGGAATGTCCTGTGATAAAATATTAATGTGAACATAAAAGAAGTTTAGAACCCACTTCATAAACACTAGTGGTATGAGTTAAAGGGCACTATGTAACTGTTTTGGTGGGGGGTGTGCCGCATGCTTGTCTCCATGAGGATGTTATTGCTTTGTCTGGAATTTTACATATAAACTTACCAATCTCGCATTTATTCAGTTGTTTTTGTGTGTTTGTATCACTCAAAAACACCTTCAAGATCATGTACTTTTACTGTGAACTGGCCACAGATCTGATCTCACCTTACTTAAATAGTGTGTCTGAGGAGATATTTTAAATGAAATATAAATAAAACAAACAAAGAACAAACAATTTAGCCTTCTTGCCAATTGTCGAAGTAATAATGTGACTTTCATGACACTTTTTACACTATGCAGTTTGTCTGAAGTGTTCCATGGTATGACATTAAACCGTAAATCTGTTTTGCATTTATTCAGGCTTCAGATATATTACCAAGGAGAAAAAATATATATATTTTATTTTCTCCACAAACCTGCCTTGAAATTTGCCTGGTGGCATCAACTGTTTTTCTCCATGGAGATTTGTAAAGTATGCATAATGGAACATTCCAGGCAAAGCAATATCATTCATAACAACAAACATGTGCCAGACCTTTATATTCAAACTATAAAACCCAGCCACTAATATTAAAGGGACAGTCTGGAATTTTGGACATAGAGCCTCATTTCCTAGTTAGCCAGAGTGTTGGAGAGTGTCCAGTCCTTGTATATGCAGAGGTCGCTGGTGCCAGGCTAGTTAACCTGCCATTAAAAACAGTCTTACCCACTCCACAAAGCACCCGAAGCAAATCTAATATTGCACCAGACTGTCGATGTAAATGTCTGTGTTGATAGAATAATGTTTGAAATAAAACTAACCTTGCATCACATGAATCGTCGCATGTTGACTGATTATTTTCTCAGCACCGGTGGAATTTTACTTTGCCGGTAAGATAGGTGCTTGGTGATATCAGTTCGCCACTGCCAAGCTTTCTATCAGGAAGTACAACTCGCTGCTGCTGCTCAGACATAAATCCTTCAAATGCAAGGTTGGTTTTTAAATTATACTATTAGCACAGACATTTATACTGAGTCTGGGGGTAATAATAGATTTGCTTCGGGTGCTTTGTGGAGTGGGTAAGACTTTTTTTTGTGGCAGACTAACTATGGTCATTGACACGCGCTAGCCTAGCACCAGCGACCTCTGCAAATACAAGGACTGGACACTCTCCAACACTCTGGCTAACTAGGAAATGAGGCTCTATGTCCAAAATTCCAGACTGTTCCTTTAATTAGCCACACACATGACAGCACTGGAATGGCCTGATAACCTCTTCGTGACCTTTTTCTGTAATTACATCAGAGCAGGTGACGGGGGTCCTGATCGACGCCCTCTCCCACACTGAGCGAGGGCCCGCTGGGAGCCATTTAACAGCCCATTCAGCAGGTGAGGCCCAGTCAGGGAGCAGCTTTAGCATGGATTATAGAGAGAGTCATATGTAAGAGGGTTATGAGGAAGAACAGGTGTATGAGAGGAAGTGAGGAGTTACAGTGTAGTAAAGATCCAGATTGGGATGTTTTGACAATCTGCATGTTAAATACAAAGTAAATATGCAGTTTAAAGCAACTTCAAAAAGGAAAAGGAAAGCAAAAGAGGAGATTTGCATAGCGAGAATGCTAATAAAAGTTTTAAAAGAATAAAGTGCTTTGAAATTTAAATTATTCTGTGAAATGTATGTTGACTGTGTATGGTCAAGTTGTTTTTACTGTAATAAACTATAATTAAAAATTGCTGGAAAATGGCATTTTTAAACACTTTAGTGCATTACACTTCTCTTGTGGGAGGTCTGCCACCCGCTTGTCTTCATGGAGATGTTGTTGCTTTCACTGAAATGTTCTATACTATGGCATTAAAGTATCTGTTTCCATGGCGATAAGCAGCCGACACCACCAGTTCAAGTTACTGGTCAGTTTTAACAATAAAAACATGAAAAAGACAGATAAATACAATGCCATAGTGTAGTACCCAGTGGAATTCAAGAAAGCAACTACATCTCCATGGAGACAAGTGCCACCATAAAAGTTCCATAGAGCACTTTTAATCATCCTTAATCGTGATACAGATATAGGTGATTAAAATGTTTCGTGAGACAAAAGTAGATTTATAACGCACATTTCGATAAATATTTCATCATTCTATTCTAAAATAAATAGCAGTACAATGAGCACAGAAACAGCAATCTCTACATTTGCAACTAAAATTTTCTGTGGTGTCATGAAAAGGACATGTTAGTACTTAAGTGGGACGAAACACCTAAACCCACAACCTCATTTCAAATAGAGCTCCTAAACTGGGCAGTACCTGGAGGCGAGAGTAAAAGACAAGGAGGAGCGGGGTCTAGAGGTAGAGTAACAGTGTGACTGGTCTAACCCATATCCACACAACTACTGAAAATTGCAGAGGCCACTGAAGGCAGCACAAACCAAGATTTAGGTGTTTTTGACCAGAAAGCTTTACCTTGTTTGCACTTAAGTTGCCAACAAAAAAAAAAGATTAGGAAACAGTAGATAATGTAATTAAAACAATATATACAATAGGTAGATTTATGTTTAGTTCAAAACACAAAAAAATGCTGACTCTGTGTCTTCTTTTAAACACATGTGATCTCCAACATCCACCCTGAACTAATCACAACATTTTGAAAGCTTTCTGCACCACTCACTCTTACCTGTTTCTCTGGAGGTCTGTACGAAGGCCTCCACCCCGCTCTCCCCGTAGTTCCCCTCCGAGGCCAAGGTGGAGACAAAGTTCCAGCCCATCGCCGTGACGATGTCCAGCATGGCCTGAGCCTGGTACGAGTCCGGAGGCACCACGCGAGAGAAGAAGTCATAGCGCGTGTTGTCACTGAGCTCAGGGGCCGTGGACGCGTAACTGATCTGAGGAATCTGTGGGAATAGAGAGAGAGGAGAGTTTAGCAAATCATTCAAGAGGAAAATTATTATTGGGGAATTTACTAGTATGAGGCTCTCTCTGATGTTTTTTGTTGAAATTAAAGGTGCTCTATGTAACCTTTCTGGATGGGGTCCGCAACCTGCTTGTTTCCATGGAGATGTTAATGCTTTTATTAAAATTGTTCATAGTATGGTATTAAACTGCTCTCTGTCTTATTCAACTACATGTGTTCTTTTTTATATATGTAATAAACACATATGATAAATAGCCTAAAAATACATCCATTCTTATTGTGATTGGGATCGCCTCTCCACAAATCTAACTTGTAATTTAGCATGCAAGTCTCCATGGAGATTCATAGTCATACTGTGGAACATTCTAAACACATGTCCATAAAGATAAGCAGATGATGGACCTTCCAGCAGACGAGTTCCACAGCGCACCTTTAAGTTACGCATATCATACCAGTTTCTTGTTTCTGGAGAATCTGATTTTTATAATGAGCATAAAACCACTCCCCGTTTTGTTTTGTTTTCCATAAGAGAGGTCAAAACCTTAAAACAAAAAGAACTACCCTGAAAGAAGCTGAAGCCGTGTTATTAACTAACAACTCCCAAAGATTAATGCTGTGTTCTTGGATTAGACACTTGTGTGAATGGGTGATTGGTTCCTTGATATAAAGTGCTTTGAGTGCCTTGAAGGTAGGTAAAATCTGGCCATCTACCTCAGAAATGTTCCTGAAGGCCCATATCTAGATCTTGTTACCTGACCAGCCAGAACCACCCTCTTTGACAAAACTTTACAATGACGTGTTTCTGTACGAATACATAATTGGAGACAAATTATGCAAAATGTACTTGGTTTTAATTATATAATAATTATGTTCTCTCATCATCTTACTTTGTTCGTATTTTTGATTGATTCATGCATATTTAAGTAATCCTGTTTTGTTCGGCATTTGAGACTTGAGACAGTGCTCCAAAAATTCTAAATTTTCAGAATATTCTACTTGCACTAAAGGTGCCCTGTGAAACTTTTCAGTTGGGGGTCTGTCACCTTCTTGTTTCTATGGATATGTCATTGCCCTGCCTACAATGCTCCACAATATGGCATTAAACAGATCTATCTTACATTTATTCAATTGTGGTTGATAGCTCAAAAATACCTAGAAAAACTGAGTTTCCTCTCCACAGAACTTGGTCTAGTTTGGACTCCATGAAAATAGAAAAGTTTAATGCCATACTGTCACATATTCCAGACAAAGTAATAACATCTCCATCAAGAAAAGCATTTGATGGACATTCCACCAGAATAAGAAAGTTACACAAAGCAGCTTTAAAGTGACAAAACATGAAATATGTTAATAGTTTCAAAAGGTTTATAAGCCCTATAAAGTACAATACGGCAAACTCAGTCCAAACAGTCTGACCTTGCTGTCCACCCTGCATACATTGTGTTAGTATGTGTCTCTCATACATCTCCGGTGCACAGTGGGCCTGCTCCTGGATAATGGGTTCTAACAGGACGATTGAGGGCCTGATTGATTTCCCTTCAGTGCTGATTTGGGCCAGTCCCTCATCAGGATTCAGACCGGACCAAGACCAGAGAGGAGAAAGACAGCTCCCGGCCCGTGGCGATACAAGTGTCAGTCACAGGCACACAGAGGAGACAGGCCTTAGTTAGAGCTCTGTTACTGTAAATACTGAGCTGTTGGTGGAGGATGCTATCACAGCACAGCATCTCTCCCTGTCTGTTTGTTTAGGCCAACAATCAGCAGATTCTATTACACTACCCAGTTCATTTTTTATTATAGGCTAAGAAAGTTTACTAAATAGCATACAGGGAATTTTGAATGATAAAACTTGGGCAGCAGTGGTACAGTAAAATGTTGGTGGTTCAATTCCAGCTCTGACTAGAGCTCAGTGTTGTCATGTCCTTGGGCAAGACACTTTGCTCCACTTGGCTACAAATGATGTGAGAATATTTGTAAAAAAAAATAATAGGTATAATAATAGGTGAGCATGCTCGGCCTGTAACTCAGCATGGCCATGTAGCTCAGCATAAGCACCACCTTCTTGTCCCCATAGAGAGAACAAAGTTTAAAACCGCACTGTGGAAAAATCTAAGTAAAGTCATGGAGACGGGCAGATGGCAGACCCCCCCACCAAGTCACATAATGCCCCTTGTAAAGAATTTCCCCTTGGGGATGAATAAAAGTTATTCTGACTAAAGTGGGTAGCTACAGAAAATCGTGTGTCTAGGAAATGTTTGTTAACATGCTATACATTTTCTACTAGCATTCAAGTGTTATTGGTGTTTTGCTTATGTATATATCTGACACTAAACAGACCAAGGAGAGGGTAACACAGCAGCTGTTTGACTTTGCCCTCTTGTTAGCATCAGTGCTGTGAGCTGAATACTCATTACAGCCCCATCACTGATCCACACATCTCACCAAACAGGGCAGTCCCTCACTCAAACAGTCTCCACTGACTGCACACACACACACGCACACACACACACACACACACACAAGGCTGCACTCGCACACACACACACACATCCACGCAGGCCCACACACACAAACACACACGTGCGCACACACATACACACCAGTCCTCCTGAGAGGTCTGGACCCAGCTGTTACACAGGTCACATGATCACAGGTCACATGACAGTGCTAAACCAGGGCGGGACTCCAGGGAACGACATCCACAGTTGGGAAGTAACTGAATACATGTACCAAGAATACATATTCAGAATACTTTGAATTTTGAGTAACTGTATATTTATTTTTTTCATTTGGTGACATTACAAATACAGTTACTCTTCTAAAATCACAGGATTGCATAAAGGTTTTTTGATTATGTAATTTAGGCTTCAAACTGCACATACTCTGAGAGAAAAATAAACAACTCTGTTCTTGTGGTGAGTGCATGTGTGATTTATCCATCTCCAAGTAGTGACAGGAAATTCTTTAAATATGATGAAACAAAAATAAAGCTGTTTTAGTACTATGTTGCATCTTTACACAATAATTTAAATGCAAGTTGATGTAAAGGTATTCTAACTATTCAGAGTACTGTAGTCTGATTGGCCCATGTATCGGAATAAGTTACAAAATACATTTTAACGCAGGTATTCTGCAAGTAAATACATTTTCAAAGTATTCTTCCCATCACTGATCACATCCATAGTCTACTCCGGTGTTGCACTATAGTATATCTATATATCGGTGCCCTGCTATATTTTTTACTCTTTACATTATATATATATATTACATATATATATATAGATATATATAGATAGATAGATAGAGTAATATTAATCCATGCAATTCTCTACATACTTTTTTCTCAAACCAAGTTACATCACTTAGTGTCTTGTCATGGGAAAATTCACTTATTTACACAAGCCTGGCGAGCCCTTCCTTCTCCCAGTTTGTATGGAGTGTGTTGTGAGAGTCTAGGATACTGCTCAAAGAAAATAATCCCTCTCACAAGTTTGGCAAACCAATCACAACCGTTTATTTGTTGTCTCATTTCTTGCTGTGTCAAATGTGGAAGGTATTTTCTCTCAAATATCCCCTAGTGTCTGTCTAAAATTGTCTGTTGGCTCCACATATGTGCTATAGGGCTGCAAGCTTAACTGTATTACACAGCAAAAAGTAATATCCAGGTAAGTTAAAATGACTTAACTTAAAACTGTTCACTTTATTTGAGTAGATTCAACTTGGTAAGTAAAATTATCACCAAAGGAATGTGTGTTTTTCTTAATTCAAGCAACACTAGATTTTGTTTCTTATTTTAAGTGCAAAGAGCTGTTGTTTCTCTTTTCTTAAGTAGATACATTTTCATATTTAAGTACAAAAATTCTTGGTAGATACACTGGTAGATAATTTTACTTGTTACATGGAATTTACTTAAATCATCATCATAAATCTTGTTATTCAAATAATCTTAGATTTTAGTTTTTCCTGTGTAGTTCGTCGGTTCATATTTCAGTGTTTTTGTCAATTCTTCTGGAGGTGGTTAAAATCTGAACAGACTCCTTTTAAAACATAAATCGCAAATCTATACTCGCAAACGCATAGTATGACCAAAAAATTACAATGGATATTTTTCTCAAAACTTGCAGCCCTATTCCATTCTTTCCATTCATTTTAATACAGATTACCCTTTCATTTCTAATTTCTGATTAGTAAATCTACTTATCAGTCATACCCAATGGAATTTTAGGATATAAAACAATATAGGGAAAAAAACATAGCCTTGGTTGGTCAGGGTAAAAAAAGGCAGCCTCAAGTGAGACCTGTTTATGTTTCAATGAATTATAAATAGGATGTTATTAACTAAAACCTTTAAAAACTGTTTATTAGTCGGTATAAAGTAATGACTCACCTTATAAACAAATCAGAACAGAATAAATAAATCTGTGTACCTTTCTTGCGACATACTTACTTCTATTTGAGTAATATTAACAGTACCCTTACTTTAGTAAAAGTTTTGGTTACTATCCCCATGTGAGTAAGTGACAGAAGCTTTAAGATGACAATATAAAATGATTAGTGTTTCTTTCACAGCTCCTTCAGATATAATTTACTTTGTTTCATGTTTGTCTGTCCCTTGACAATAACACATTTTGTGCATTAATGTTTTGTTCATCAAATTACATTCAATTCAAACCATAAATCAGATGTTACGTCCCAAAGGTTACTCTTTAAGTTACTCTTACTTGAGTTGAGTTTTCCCAGATACATTTTTACTCTCACTTTAGTCATTTCTTGGACCACTGCCTTGCCTACCGACCTCTGACATTCAGTAAAAGAAAAATAATATTGTAGCATGCATGGCGACTGAGTAGTAAAACCACTGACTATAAAGTAGGCCAAGTGATAGGAGCCTTTCCGCAGCCGGAAGAAATGTATATCTATTTAACCTCATGAATAATAAATCATGGACTCATCACAGACTCTAATACGAAACAAACAAAT